GTGGAGTCTTGGGTACTTGCCAGGGTGGGGCAACCCACTTTGCTGTGTTGTGGCACTGTATGTGAGTGAGGGATCAGAGAGGGAACAGTGCCACTTGCTTGGCTCTTGACTCACTTTCAGTCACTTCCCCTGCTGTCCATAAGTGAATTGTGCCCTTCAAGGTGCTGCCCCAGTGCTAATTCCCGGGAGGGTGGGCTTGTGTATATTCTAGGACTCTGTAGGCCCCTCCAATGGACTCTCCTGTGAGACTGACAGTTTCTCCCACTGCTGCAACCCCCACGGTTTTTACCAAGAGGTTTTGAGACTGAACTCCCAGCGCTAGAACCCTGGGTTACACAGTCTGTCTTGCTCCCCAGTTGTTCCTCCCAGTTTATCCCCACACAGATGTGGGACCTCCTGGTGTTCTAGCTGTTGCCTTGGCGCATCCTCTCCACCCTGGCTGCCTGTCTTCATCCCTCCTCCCTGTCTGGATGAATGTTTCTTCTTTAACCACTTGGTTGTTGGACTTCCATACAGTTCCATTTTCTGGCAGTTCTATTGTTGTTTGTTTTTAAATTCGTTATCCTTTTGGTTGTGTGAGGAAACGAAGCCTATCTACCTATGCCTCCATCTTGACTGTACCAATTAAATGTTATTTTAATTCTCATGCACATTTTCACTGAGTTGGGCCTTTGGCTCTCATGGAAGAATGTTGGAAGAAATAGCCCTTTGATCGCTTCTCAGCCTTTTGGCTAAGAAATAGCCCTTTGATTTTATATAAAAAAGAAAAGTCTTTTTTTGTTATGCTGTACTAATAGAAATATATAGTAAATGTAGGTTTTTCCTCTGTCATGTTAATTTTCAAGATATAAGAGGAAATGTTTAGTTCCCCCAAATCTATTTTGAATTTATAAGAAAACATTGTAAAACCTGACTTTTTGGATAATGGTCCTATATGAATTTCTAACTGCCTTATTTAAATTCTTTTTATCCAAACTTCTTTAAAAAATAGTCTTTATATAATTGTCTCAAGTTTCATGTGTCCTTCCTCTTTCCCACTTCCTCACTTCAAATCATGTTTCTTTATAAATCAGTTTGTGTCTTGTCAAAATTATTTATGCATATAAAAAGATAACTAGCTCCATAAGGCTTGTTGTGAAAAAGTACCTCCTCCTTATTCACAAAATTTCCTGCTTTCTACAATCACTTTTATTTTTCACGGTGATCTGTTTCAGTATTCCATATCAGTAGGGACAAAAAGTGCTTACATTGCTACTTCTTGATTTTTCTGTTGTGTGCATTATTGTTGACTTTCCAGCATGGAAGGTAAGGATTTAATATTCTCTAATATACATATACCTTTCTTTTTCTAACCATACACATATGCTTCTTGCCTTCCCCAACCCCATGGTTATATCTTAATTTTGGTTGAATCAATATTCCACATTTACATTATTATGACTGCAGATCCTATTTTTTTTAATGAAACCACTTTTTTTCCTACCTAACCCTTGCTTTTTACTGGAGTTAATAATTGTCTTGTTTTCTTGTTTGTGTAGTTTTCTATGTACTTATTCATTCAACTCAAACTCTCTACCAGTTATTTAAACATCCTCTCAAGATTTTTAGAACCATCAGATACTTGTATCAATTTCATCTTCTGAGATACTTTCTCCAAGAGCCTTGTGATCTACTCCAGTTAGGACTTGTGACCTTTTTGCCTGTTGTACAACTCTCATAATTTCTCTTCACTACATCCTGAGTGTTCCTTTGGCCTTTCTTCAGTATTGGTTCCTCTGTTCCTTACCCCGTATTTTTCTCATTCTTGACTTACCCTCTTGTTTTAGTGTGGAACAAACTATAGAAGCTTGATGAGAAAGGGTACATAGGGGATACAGTTTTGACCTTGTTTTGTCTAAGCATGTCTTCATTTTACTGTAACAGCTGACTTATTAGCATGTATGTTGGAAATCATTGCCTTCTAGCTTCTAGTGTTACTGTTGAAGTCTGGAGGTACTCTAATGTCTCCTTCTTTGTATATGACCTATTTCCTCCCTTTATTGTAAGCTTGTAGGATATTCTCTTTGGATTATTCTCTAGTATTCTAATGTTTAAATTTAATTCATTGAGGTGGGGGCTAGGAGGACACTTTTGTCTTAACTTATTGATAATGTTGCCCCTTGATTTTCTATTTGCTAGGTGATTCTCTAACTTTTTAAAACCTTATCTATGGTAAAGGGTAACACACAACCAGAAAATAACATAAAACTTAAATATACAATTAGAGGAACACATATTTAACCATTACCCAGAATAGAAAACAACACATTGTCAGCACTTTCCTTAATAGAACTCTCCAGAAGGTAACCACTGTCTTGCTTTTCTATATAGCTTTACCATCTAAAAATGTATCCCTAAACACTAGTTTAGTTTTTCTTATCTTGAACTTTGTGAATGGAATCCCACTGTGTCTATTCTTGTTATCTGGCTTCTTTCTGCCAACATTATTTTAAAGATATATCCATATTTTAGGCATCTATAGTTACCCTTTTTTTCTGTGCATATATTTTATTGTATGAATATGCCACAATTTATCTCTTCTACTCAAGACTGATCTTTGAATTTCCTTATTGTTTGAGGGCATTTCTAATACTATTACTTATGAGCCCTCTTATATATGACTTCTGGTAAATGTGTGTGCTTATTTCTTTGGAGGAGTGCTGTTCAATAGATATATATGTAAGCCACATATGTAATTAAAATTTTTCTCATAGCCACATTTGAAAAGTTAGAAGAAAAAGATGACATTGATTTTAATAATGTTTTATTTAACCCAGAAAATCTAATTATTCCAACACTTAATTTAAAAATTGTTAAGGTACTTGACATTTTTTAGTGCTGAATCTTTGACATCTGAAATGTTTTTTTATTATAGCTCATCTCACTTCAATGGAGCTACATTTAGGTGCTCAATAGCCCCATGTGATCAATGTTTATTATATTGGACCACATCGCTCTATATATATCCAGTAGATAATGGCAAAGTTTTATAAAGTGATTGAGCTATTTTGCACAACAGGGCAAATGTGAGAGCTCCCATTTTCCACATAATCACCAGCACTTACTATTCTGTCAGATTTATTAACTTTGTTCTCTCATGAGTGGGTAATAGTTTTATTGTGATTCAACTCACTTTTCCCTGATTACTAAAGAGCTAGAATACCTTTTCATGTTTATAGGCCATTCGCATTTCTTCTTTTGTGACATACTAGTTTAAGTATGTTTTTTCCCATTCTTTTTAATTGGGATTTTTATTTTACTTTTGAAAGTTTTAGAACTATATGTATATATATTTTTTCTTTTTTTTCTGGATATAAGCTGTTTTGTTTCATGTTATGTAGATCTTCTCCAACTCTATGACTTGCCTTTTCACTTTCTTAAAGGTGTCTTTTGATGAACATAAGTTTTAAATTTTAACATAGTTAAGTTTATCAGTAGTAATTTCTATGTCTTGTTTAGGAAATCCTTTCCTGTGTTAAGGTCATGGAAACATTGTCTTGTTTTATATCATAAGAATCTTTATTAGGTCTATTTTTAACAGGTCCAAAATCCAGCTCGAATTGATTTTTAGGAAGTTAACTTCAGGGTATCTGTGATTTCTCTGAAACTGTATAGAATACTGTATGTGTATTTGATTTTCTTGGTGGTAAGGAGGAGAGCAACAAATTTTTATACAATCCCCAAAAGTGTAAGAACCACTGTTCTGTGGGTTAAGAAAATGTGAATAGGAGTTGAGGTGCATTCTTCTCCATATGGGTATTCAGTTCACTATTCATTCATTTCCCTCACCTTCCCATAACATGTCCCCCACACCATACTCTGTAGTGCCACCGTTATTGTAGTATGTGTGGACTTGTTTCTGTACTATCTCTCCTGTTTCATTTATTTGTTTGTCTATTATTATTATTATTATTATTATTATATTTATCCTCACCTGAGGACATGCTTAGAGGGGAAGAAGGGAGAGAGGAGAGAAGAGCATGTGACTGATTTTCTTAGTCTTTTGCATTTCCATATAAGTTGTGACATTATCTTATCAATTTCAGCAAAATAAACTGTTTGGGTTTTTTTCCCCGGTCAATGAAAGGGAAACTTGATTGAGGGTTATGGTGTTCAGGTTAAAGGCTGCCCTGTGGACCCAAGGGGGTGGTGGAGAGGCCTTAATTAACTCCTCGGGGAGCAGGTTGTTGGTGTGACAGAGTCAACAGTTGACAGGGCTGCAGGGTGCAGGTGGCCGTAACACCTGAGACAGATCATCTTGTTGTAGTTGTACTTCCAAGTAAGCTGGCAGAGGGAGGGCTCCATGGTGCCACCTCACAGATGAAGCACCAAGTACAGGGTGGACTCTTTCTGAATGTTGTAGTCTAAGAGAATTAGGCCATCCTGTAGCTGTTTGTCCACAAAAATCAGATGCTGCTGGTCAGGTGGGATGCTCTCCTTGTCTTGTCTTTGAAAAAAAAGAGATATCTAACAACAAAACAGCTCAGCAAAACTACATGGTAACAATAAGGAAGGAGTGTACACCGTTGTAAAAGAAAGTGGACTAGCATCTACTTCATACCCCAGGTGTATAATCTGTAAAGTAGCATGGTTATTTAGAGATACCTCAGTTGCTGAGATTTCTGACCTAGTGTTCAGGGACTTTTAGTAGATATATTAGTTAACTTCAGGGTATCTGTGATTTCTCTGAAACTGTATAGAATACTGTATGTGTATATGATTTTCTTGGTGGTAAGGAGGAGAGCAACAAATTTTTATACAATCCCCAAAAGTGTAAGAACCACTGTTCTGTGGGTTAAGAAAAGTTTATAGAAGCCAAGAAATACAGGTTTTTAAAAAAAAATTTGTGTTTTATGTTTGCATTTGAGTAACCATGCTAGTAAATTATTATATATACAATTCTCTTTTATTCAATAAATACTATTTTCCCTGTATGTTAACTAAGAACTTTCTTTTTAAAGGTTCAGGAACAAGTACATCCGAATCTCTCAGCTAATGAAGAATCTCTCTATTATATTGAAGAGCTGATTTTTCAGCTGCTTAATAAATTATGCATGGCCCAACCAAGGACTGTTCAAGATGTGGAGGTAAAAACTATTTGTTATTTCAAAAATACACTGAACAACTGTATAAATTAATTTTTGAATCTGAATATATATCATTGTTAATTATTGTGGAAACTAATGCCATTGAAGTCATATGTGGATTATATAGTCAGTTCATTTTCAACAAACGTCAAGACAATTCAGTGGAGAAAGGAAAGTTTGTCAGCAAAAAAAAAAAAAAGTGATAGAAAAACTGGATAAATTTATGAGGCAAAAACTCTTGAAACCTATCTCTGACAAAAGTTAATTCACGATTGATCATGGCCTTAAACATAAAAGCTGAAACTATAAACTTTCCAGAAAAAAAATGCAGAATATGTTCATAATCTAGGGTTAAGCAAGTATTTTTTACAGAGCACTCAAAGACAGTAAGTATTAAAGAATAAAATTGATGAGGGAAAAAAAATGTGTAAGTCACAGGCTGGAAGAAAATGTTTGCGATACATATTCCTTATGAAGAATTTGTATCCAGGATATGTTGACTCCTACAAATCAATAATAAAAAGATAGCCTACTTTTATCCCAAATGGGCGAAAGTTGTGACCAGACATTTGATAAAAGAAGGTGTACTAATGGACAGTAAACACATGAAAAGGTGTTTAAGCTCACAAGTCATCAGCAAAAAAGAAATTAAAACCACAATGAAACAGTATTTCACATCCACTGAAAGAGATGAAATTAAAGACTGATAAAACCAAGTGTTGAGATATAGAGCAACTAGAACCCTGTACGTTGGTAGTGGGAGTGGAAAGTGTATAACCACTTTGGAAACTTGTTGGCAGTTGCTGATAAAGTTAAATATATATCTAGCTTAAGACCTAGCAATTTTACTCCTAGGTATTTAATCCTAGATAAATGAAAATTCTGTTCCCAAAAAGACTTATACATGAATATTCAAGTAGTTTTATTTATGATAGCCAAAAATTAGAAACAACTCAAATTAGAGAACAACTAGTTCTAATTTCCATCAAGAAAATGGGTAAACAAATTGTGGTAGATTTATAAAATGGAATACTACCCAGCAATAAAATAAGAGAACAAACTATTGCTATATGCAGTAACAAAGCTACAATTCACAGACATTACATAGAGCAAAAAAAAAAAAAAAAAAGCCAGACCCCAGAGAATACATATTGTATGATACTATCTACATGAAGTTTAGAAATAGATAAAATTAATGGTGATAGAAATAAAAATGGTGGGTGGTTGCCTTGAGGAATGGAGATTGAATGATAGAAATATTCTATATCTTGCTTAGTAAACCATATTTCAGAACTCATTGAATTGTACACTTCAGATCTGTGCATTTTACTGTCTCCATAAAGGACATAAATCTTACACACATACCACTGAAAGATCATGTGTGATGCAGTGCTAAAATACGGTTTTGGTTCAATTACATGGGAGTATTTTTGGATTTTTAGTAGTATCTGTCATTATAGCTTTCAGAAAGTACTTTTGTACTAGACTGCTTATATTACGTTTCCTTTGAAGATCGTTTCTGTAATAAGGCAACAGCTTCCAGTATGAAGGAAAATCTTAATTTGGAGTAATTGAGCTATTAGAGTTTTATGGACTCTGGGAATTAAAACATTTGCTATCCTATTCTCTGATGTAAGAATTGGTCCTTAAATAAATATAATAAAAGCATACTTTTCAGTAGCTAAATAATCTCAAAGCTAACTATTAATTTAAAAAATAAGAAATTTTGCTCAATTGGGGTTTGATTCACTTATCATTACTTCTCATTATTCATGCCAATTACTGGTTCAGTTTAAGATTAGATGAATCGTAATAGTAATTTAAAAGGCTTGGATTTTTTTTTGCCAAGAGCTACATTTCCTTAAGTCATTCTTAGCTCTGCCACCCAATTGATCCTCTAAGGGGTATATGATCTCTCTTTTTAAAATCCTTCTCTATATTTGAAGCTCCAAGATTAGCAAGAGGAGAGTGAATGCATAATAATTCTTAATAATGAATTAACTTTTGCTAGGTAAACAATTTTAACCCCAGAAATTTTACTGTAAAATCACTGATGGAGTATTTTATGTTAGCTTTTATCTTTCCTAATATTATTACTTTTTAAAATTGTTTCATTTTAATTATGCATATACTTAAAGCTTTCTGTTTAAATATCACCTTTTTATTTATCCATGGGAATTATATGGAAGAATCTTGATAATCCTGTTGATTATTTTTTTTAATTTTACTTACTACAGGAATCAAAACTGTATGTTACTGTTATCTGCAACCATTAAGAATGGTGGTAAAGTTGTATGAATTTTACACTTAGAGCACTTCTATTAACAATAGTACTGCTATGATCTGAACAGGAACGAGTTCAAAAGACCTTTCCTCATCCAATCGATAAATGGGCTATAGCTGATGCACAGTCTGCCATAGAGAAACGAAAACGAAGAAATCCTCTCTTACTGCCTGTGGACAAAATCCATCCTTCACTGAAGGTAATAAAAAAAAATTAAACATTGGGGAAGTCCTTTATAACAAGTAATACTTACCTGTAATATTGGCATATATATAGTATGGTCTATGTTATTATATATGTGCACTTGAGTGTGTATATGTTTGTACTTATATTTATTTCTTAATAGGTGTACAAAATGAAAATAAGTATACTTTGATAAAATCAGATTGCCGTTCAAATAACATTAAAAGTTAATGATAAGCAATAATGCATCTTTATGGCATCTTCTGATGACTACTACCCCTGACTGATTTTCAACCTTTTGTTGATTCAGAAAATACACAGCAAAGGGGAGAGGGGCGGATTGGAGGTGGCAGAGGGTATAGGGAGGATAAATGGTAATGGAAAAAATACAATTAAAAAAAAGTTATTTTTAAAAAAAGTGTCAAAAACTGTGATTTCAGAACTGTTTTTAAATTAATCTGTATTTACCACAGATATTTGTATATACATTGGAAAATAGACTAGGAATTATTAATTAGCCTATAGAAAATACTTGGTGTACATGGATTTGGATACCCCTTGCTAGCAATTTTAAGACCCTCTCTTCCCCATACACGTCTTCTCAACAGAAACCATTGTAATTTGGGGATGTTGGTTAAATCAGAGTCCTTGAAGATAGCAGATACTTGTCAGATGGATTTTGGATAATGTATTAATTAAGAGGTTTTTGGTGAAGCCCAGCCCAAGTTTTCTATATTAGAATGAACTCTTTTGTTTGACACTAAAAGCAGAATTGTTAGATTATGGGGTCTCTTTTTTAAGAAAGCCCCTGGTACTGGAACCAATAACTCATTTTATATCTTACCATACCTGTAAGTATTGACATTTGGTTTATAGTAAGTTCTTTATAAGTGAGAATATTAAGTTAAATTTCAAGTGTTTAACTGGTACTTGATAGTGCCATTTTTTAAGAATTAAATTGTTAATTTTTTTCCACAGGAAGTTTTAGGGTACAAAGTGGACTACCATGTGTCCTTATATATTGTGGCTGTACTAGAGTATATCTCAGCTGATATTTTGAAATTAGCTGGTAATTATGTTTTTAATATTCGACATTATGAAATATCTCAGCAGGACATTAAAGTGTCAATGTGTGCAGATAAGGTAAGTATTAAAAGGTATTTAAACTTAACTTGAATAATAGTGACTATATAATATGTCTGCCTCCCTCTTTTAATGATTATATTAGTAATTTTTATAAGTCTTTGTTTTGGAAGACAGGAAAATGCTGACTTTACAAACTAACCATGATATTTCCAGATTTTTTATCATGTGACAGGATGAAAATCTCTCTTTTTCCAATAAGAATCTTTTGCCTATAGGAAGGAACATGCAGAACCTCAAACAAGTTTAAGAAAAATAGTTTGAGTTTGTTTTTATTTATTTATTTGAGTTTTATATTTTTAGAAAGAGAATATGTATAGAGTATTCAGATACTTTTAAGCATAAGAAGTAATTTTGAAAAACATACTTGGGTTTCATAGAATAGTTTTGTGGAGCATGGCTAGAGAGAAAAAGACTTTGCAATGCGAAAGTTACTTCTTTTTGATAATTTGTTACACTTATCTTCTTTTTTCCTGGCTGTAAGCTACTAATGAAAGAAATTGAATCTTTATTATTTTTTTTTGCCCTCTTCCTTTTTATTCCCTTTTTTACTTTCCTTCCTTTTTTTCTTACTTTTTAAGTCAATACTTTTGAGTACCTGTTATGGACTAGTCACTGTTCTGAGCATTGAAGATACAGCAGTGAACAGGTCAGCAAACCCTGTGTTAAAAATGTATTTTAGTGGGAAATAAAAATAATGTAAACAACTAATTGTAGCACAGTGTAATTAAAGCCATTAAGCGGATAAGTCAGGGGTGTAGGGATGACCAGGAACACTTGACAAAGATACCATCTAAACTAGACCTCTAAGGGTGAATGACCCTCAGGATCTGGAAGAGCCCAGTGGTTCTCTACTTTGACAGTACATCAGAATTACCAGAAAGCTTTTAAAGAATCCTGATGCATCTTGCCCACAAAGATTCTACTTTACTTAGCGTGGATTGGGCCTCCAAGCCTCAGTATTTTCAAATTTTTTTAAAATAACTCAGGTGATTCTGATGAGCAGTTATGATTGAGAGCCACTGTACTATGCCAGTCTCAAAATTATTTTTTACTTAAATTTCACAGTAAAAATTTTCTTATTTCTATTTGGACTTCTAAAACTGTGATTATATTTTTTTACTTTGTTTTGTTTTTTATCGCATTTTTAGTAAAATTGCCTGTGCATTGAACCACTTGAGAGAGTAAGTTGCCAACATAATTTAGTATCCTACAGACAAAAACACTCTCCTACATAACAACAATATGACAATTAAAATCCAGGAAATTTATGTTGATACATTATACCATCTAATCCTCAGATCCCATTCAAGTTTTGCCAGCTATCCTAATGATGTCCTTTATAACAAAATAATTCGGTCCAGAATCTTTATTGCATTTAGTTGTCATGAATGTTTTTCTCTTTCCCTTTCTTCAGTCTGAAACAGTTCCTCATTTTTCCCTTAACTTTTACTACCTTGACACTTTTTAGTATTACATCAGTTATTTTTTAAAAATATGCTTTATTTTTTCTGATATTTTCTCTGGATTAGATTCAGGTTATAGATCTGTGACAGGAATATCATAGAAGTGGTGCTATGTTCTTCTCATTGCATTTTCTCACATAGCACACAATTTCATTGTTTTCCATTACTGGTGATGTTCGCTTTGATCACTTGATTAAGGGGTTGTCTCTTAGGCTTCTCTACTGTGAAGTACTCTTTTCCTTTTTTGTAATTACAAATAAATATTTTGTGGAATATTTTGAGACTGTGTAAATGCTTTGTTCCTCATCTCACTTTAAGTTTATTCATTTGTTTATTTTAATATGGACTCATGGATTCTTGTTTAATCAGTGCGCCCTAATCCATTACTTTATTATTTAAATACTCTGTTGTCCCAGATTTGGCCAGTGGGAGCTTTTTCAAGTTGGCTTCTTTGTCCCTGTCATTCTTTGAGCACTCTCTTTTGATACAAGACTAGGTTCAACTTGTTCTTTACCTGTTGCTAAAGAATTGGTTGTTTTCTAAAATACCGTGGTTCCTTTTAGTGGCAGATGGTATTTAGAAACCAAGATCTGGGTGCTAGATGAGCTTATTGTTATTTGAGTGTTATTGCTCTGCTCTCTTGGAGGCCAGAGTTGGGGAAAACACATATATTTGTGTGTATATCTTATATATGCACGCACACATATTTATTTCTTAGGTCACAGATCTCTCCAAACCAAATCCAGTATCACAGGTTTATTTTAGTCTCTCCTTTTTTCATATTTATAGTTTCCTTCTCTGAAAAGAAGAAACCTGGCTCCCATTTTTCTTTTTGTTTTTTTTAAAGATTTTATTTATTTATTTTTAGAGAAAGGGGGGAGGGAGGGAGAAAGAGAAGGAGAGAAACATGGATGTGAGAGAGAAACATTGATCAGTTGCCTCTCGTAGACACCCTGACCGAGGACTGAACCCTCAAAGCAGGCATGTACACTGACTGGGAATTGGACTGCAACCTTTCACTTTGATGATGCCCAACCAACTAAGCCACACCGGCCAGGGCCCATTTTTCTTAATATATTTTCCTATTTGATCAATTCTCCTACGTAACCAACCTCCAAGCAGGCCTCTTTTCTGCTTGTGTAGGCACCCCTCCTTATTCCTATTTTGGCTGGGAAACCTCTCTTCCTTTTATAAACACAGTCCTTACTCCCTCACTCAAGCTCTGACCATACTGTGTTGGGCTGCTGCTTTGGACCACCTTCTCTAGCACCCTTCAGCAAGCTGCCTTGTCATGTGGATAGTCTCTTTACCCCCAAATGATCTCTAACCTCCTGTGTTAGGTGTGCCCCCTCTCTATAGACACCCTCTTTACTCCACTCAGAGTCTGTCACCCTGAGATGGACCACCCTAGCTTTTCACCACCCCCGTGTTGCAGGGAGTCTTACCTTATTTACTCCATGTCCTCCTCCCCTGCCCATTAGCCTTGGACAGAATTGTTGAGAAACTGTGGGAAGGAAAGACTATACCATATTTGAGGTTCACCTTTTCCATGAGTCTTTTAAAGGTAAAAGCAATTAAATTCTAACAATTACAGTTTCAGAATTCACAAGAGGCCAAATCCTCACGAGGAACTGACAAATCATCACATAGCTTCTGTTTGGGCACTGGGAAATCCATTTCTTAAAAACTGTTCATCCATTTTTATAAAATTCTAATTAGGTGAAATATCTTTCTTATTCAAAGTTAAAGTAGACTTCACTGTTTTTGTTTTTTAAATATTTTGTTTATTTATTTATTTTTTAGAGAGAGGGAAAGGAAGAGAAAGAGAGGGGGAGAAACATCAAAATGTGGTTGCCACTCACGCCCTCCCACTGGGGACCTAGGCCACAACGCAGGCATGTGCCCGGACTGGGAATCGAAATGGCAACCCTTTGATTCACAGGCAGGCACTCAGTCCGCTGAGCCACACCAGCCAGGGCCTCTGTTAACTTTCATTCATTAATTCTAATTCTTTCTCCTGAATTACATTAAATAAGACCAAACTATTTTTTCAGAATAAGTTATTTGAAGTATTTTTTAATGTGCTAAATCTTTACCTTTTGAGACTTTAAAAAATAGTCTTCATGTGACTTGATTTTTAGATCCCACTATTATTTTACTCTTAGCCTGTAATTTCTAAAACTAAAGACAACAATGTGGATTTGGTTTGACCAACACAGATTACAATGAAATTCCTTCCTTTATTCTATGTTATTGTTTTATAATTTCAGCATTTTGCGGGGGAGGGCACCCATGTCACTCTGCTTATTTATTGAGCTTTGCAGATGTCTAAATCCCCTAGGACTTTTCACATGTGGTATTATTTATTATGCTATGTCTTTGATTCCTTACAACTTGCTGTTGATTTTTTTTGGGGGGGGGAGTTTGAACTCAAATTTATCCCTCGAGCATTTCATACTGTTATTGAGACTGTGCATCAGCATATCAAGATAAAAAAAATCTAATTTTGTCACTCAGCATTTTCAGTATCCTTCCCAGCTTTTAAAAATGTATACAAATGTGAGAAATAGTTTTAGTTGGAATTATTAAAAATATTGAAAAAACAGTATACAAGAAATGAGATCCTCCTTACGTTATTAGAGGGTTGCTTCTAGGAATAAATTACCACTTTTTTTTTTTTTTGGCCTTTTGGTCAGCTACTATTTTGCCTTTTGTTGAACTCAGTGCTCAAGAAACTTTATCTGTAAAGGACCAGAAGGTAAATATTTTAGGTTTTGTGGGCTATACAGTCCCTATTGCACCTATTCATCTTTGCCTTCATAGCATGAAGGCAGCCATAAACAAATGAGTGTGGGATGTGTTCTAGTAAAACTATTGCAGTGGGTGCAATATGGCCTGTGGGCTATAGTGTGCCTGTCCCTTTCTACCATAATCCCAAATTTGTTACGAGACTATCATATGCTTGGCTTAAAATTAAGATGACTTTATTTCTGGATCTTGTCATGTGAGTGGAATAATGAGATTAGTATGACATGGTGTGATCTTAGTAAACCAAACTCTGCTTCAAAAGCTCACAAACCATCTTGTTTAGTAAACTATTTGAATAAATGATTTCTAGGGATCTGTATAAATTACCAGGCAAGATCATATAATTTGCCAGACAAGTAACCTCGAGAATCAACCTTTTTCTTTACATTTAAGAATAAAAACTGCATTTGATTATATGAGGTATTCTGGTACATCAAAGGTTGCTTAGAAGTAGATGATCACAGGAAAGAATTGTGTAGCTCAACCCCTACTATATTTGTCACTATTAAGGACACTAGTATTCAGACTGGAAAAAATAAAACATGTGCTTAAGGGGGAAAATTGATGTGTAAGAAAGACAAGAGAATCTAAGAAAGACAAGAGAATAAGACAGCACAGAGCTACTCTCGGAGGTTTACTTCTTCAAAAACGCCAATACAAAAGAACCTATGCACCCCAATGTTCATAGTAGCACAATTTCACAATAGCCAAGTGTTGAAAGCAACC